TGTGTGTGTGTGTGTGTGTGTGTGTGTGTGTGTGTGTGTGTGTGTGTGTATGTTCAAACCAGGTGGAGACAGAAGTTTTAATTACTAGAATTTGGAACTTATGCAGTATCATGTGCCCACTTTTATTTGCTAGCAGCTTCTCACTTTGTCTAGCCAGATGCTTTTGAAAGTTTTTAAAAGCAAGGCAGTTAAATGCGAACAGATAGATTTTTGTTGCTGCTGTTGTTCTGTAACTATAGTTACAATGTATCAACTTTCCTAAATTCTGTACCATCCATTTGGTAGCTGATAGCAAGGGCATTAAACATTAAGCATTTATATGCAGAAGCTTGACATGTTAACAGATTTCTGCAGATGAACAATTGATTTCAAGGGAAAGGGCTACTTGATGGAGGTTTCTTCTAAGTCGAATTTTCTATGAAGACTTTCCCTCATTTACTATAATTAAAAGTGTGAAGGCATAATTGATGAATTTTTGATGAAATAACATAAGATAAATACCAAACACTAGCATTTAAAATTTTCCCTCTATTAAGCATTGATGGTATAATTGCATATGCTTAGATTTATGACTGCAACACATAAAAAGTCTGACATTTAAAGCATTGGTATATATATCCTGGAATAGTTATTAATTTATTTTATTCCCTCATATAGTAATTAAAGAACAACTCAGAGATTGTCTTTAACTTTCAGTTAAATAACACTTTGTTGTCACTTAATGAAGAAACCACATATAAGCTATCAAATAGTTTCATTATAATTTATAAAGCAGTTACATTAAGTCCATAATTTATTTTACTAAAGTTTGCCTACAGAGTCCCTATTGCAGGTTAAGCAAAAAAGTGTACTTGTTTCTTTAATCCCTTCCTTAATAAACTTGGATAGTACATGTTTCATACCTCAGAGACTTTTGCAATAAATACCCCATTACTGTAAACTGCAAATAATATGTTCTCTTCATTAAAATATTTAGTCTATGCAACCATATACTGTTCTATCTATATTTCTGGAAGCCAGGGGCAAATACTATATAGGAAGGTATATATATAACGAGTATTTAGGATGGAATAACTATTTTGGTCAATATGATCATAAGTATATAATATTCCTGGTGTGTTTTAGAAAAACAAGGAAAGGTGTTGGCAGGTTGGTTAGTTCTGGGAAAAGTCAAGTCATATTGCTGTAATTAAAAGACCTTGGCTTAATAAAATGACTGCAACTATTGCTGTAAATGCTAACATCTCATTGATTTTCAAAAGCTAAAATGATGTTTTCTTTTTACTTTTATCCATCTCATTTACCATGGCTAACACACAAGATGTGAAAATAAGAAATAATTCTACCAATGTAATGCTACTTTCATATCTATGGACTCAAATCTGTTCCCTCCCTTAAAATATCGTCTCAGTTTTTTTAAGAGGACAAGAATCATGTGTTTTAATATGTCGAATAAATAGGCTTTTTAGAGGAATACATTCGCATACTTCATATGTGAAACATCCAAAAATAAAAGAAAACAAAGACTGAAGTTATTTGGAATGCTTTACGTGTCATTTAATCTTTGCATTCCCTTCAGAATTAAATATTATTTAGGCTACACAGATTAGTTGAAAATAATACTTGGAAACTTGTGTCCCTGTCTACACCTTAAGACTGTAATTACTATTTCTTTCATCAACAAAATACAAGTCAAACAAATTATTCAGTTTTTACCACAATATCTTGATAGATATTTATAGTGTAGCCAGCCTTCATAGATAAGACGGAAATACTTTTATTGTTTTTACACAAATTATATCCATATTGATTTTGTTTTTGTTAATAGGTAAAACACAAATGTATGGTGTGTTGACAATGTTGTAACTGGAGACAATCTCCTGTCATTAATTATCACTGATGGCTTATCTGATCGAATAATATTTATTAAGTAACTTACTTGAGAACCAAGGCTATTATAATGTGATATTCTTACAGGTCACAGATGGCATTATAGAGAGGTTCTTGTAAACATTTGTTAAGTTACTTCAAATGCAAAACAAACAAGGCTGTTCATTTAGGAAGTTTTAAGAGACATTGTCCTTTCTTTTATTAAAAATAAAGAAAGTAGGTGCTTACATGTGAATGTCTTAAAATGAGATCGTTGTCCCATTAAAGACATTGGTTGACTGCTGGATACCAATGTGAATGATCACATCTGCCTTCTGTAAAAGAAATCTGGCTGTTGTCATTTTCACTGAGATGTTTGGTAGCATTTTCGAGTCTAGATGCCAGGGATAAGTTGTACCTATAACAACCATGGGAAGGATAAAAAGGGCAACTGAGTGTTTCTTGGGCAATGAGGTTTGGTTGGAAAATGTTTCCAGGATTCTGTAATCCATATAACATTTGATTGGCAGAATGAGATGCTTGTAGACACTGCCCATTGCAGTCTTCATGTAAGCCACTGTGTGAATTGATGATGCCCCTGGAGGATACCATGGGCACTTCCATCATGAATCGGGGTAAAGACTGAGAACTGTTGAAACTTGGTAGCCTTTCGGAAGTAGGAAAGACGAAAGGTTGTGGTCGCCAAAAATTAGTTGAACAAATCTTGTAGCAGAAAGGAAGGTTTATATTTTGCAGGTATGTGTCTGAATAGGTCATTCCAAACGAGCTCGGGGGTATGTGAAATGAAGGTGTAGGTGGAGAACAAGAAGGAGAAAGTAAGGTGTTCAAAGGAGAGGGAGCTCCTCCACTAGAGGTCACTGGAGATGAGCCACTGCTTCCACCTGCGAAAGACAAGTCAGCCAGTGAATAATGAACCTGATTTTCCTAGTGAACCAGTACTCATATCTATTTATTGCCCTCTCTGCCCCATTCTTGGAGTGGTTTTCTTTGCATGTTCACGGTTCTTTCTGCTTGGGGAAAGTATTTTTGTTCCTTCGACTGACTCTGAATAAGGTAGCTCCATTGCTGGCAGTTCTGCCACCGCGACGTACTACAGTGCATCGCACACTGAGCATTTGCTATACTCCAGGTCTTGACATTTTACCCAACAGTTAAAGAAACCCCATATGTAACACAGCCAATAGCATATTATGAACAAAAATTAACCTTTTGTTTTTTTAAACTGCAAATTATTTGTTTGGGATTTTGCAGATCTTTTCAGTGTAAAAATCAAGTAAATATGAAAATAATTTTATTGATGAAAATAATTAACGATCATTAACATTTTGTCTTATGTGAAAATCATAGATTTGGAGATTTCCATGGTTCTTTTCTATCAAGAATTAAAGGCAGTGTTTCAAATTTAGAAACATCAAGGTGAGAAGGAAAGTGTTTACTCTATGACATCTAAAGTCTTTTATTGTTTAACACAGTGGTTCTCCAGCTGAGAGTAGTGCCCATTTGGTAGAAACTTATCAGATATTTACATTATGATTCACAACAGTCACAAAGTTACAGTTATGAACTGGCAATGGAATAATTTTCTGGTTGGGGGGTCACCACAGCATGAGGAACTGTATTAAAGAATTGAACATTAGGAAGGTTAAGAACCACTGTTTTAACAGATAATAAAATTAGGAGTCCAGGACAACCTAGCCTTTGAGCTTTATTTTTATAAATGTTTTAGTTCAATCAATTATGTTTGACCATACTTGATGAAGTTGGGAGATTTTATTGATAATTTTGTTATTTTTCTTGGGCGTACGTAAGGATAAATAAACACTAATATTTTATCAGCAGAGTGACAAATATCTGTAATAAAACAATCAGAAGTTATTTTTAAAATGATTGTTCCTCTACCATATGAGTGCACTCTTCACACTGTAAAGGATGAAATTAGCTATTTTACGTGATCAATGAATGGTCACTTTCATCTTTTTTGAAATTAGGTTATTTGGATATTTTAAATGCATGTTGCCTAATGTTGTCAGTTGAATTATTCTAGTAAAACAACTGTTCATAGTCTTCTAGGCAATGCCCTAAAGCACATGATTTCAACAAATGGTTGTACTTCATTTCTTCACATTGCAATTACTTGTTATGACACCATGTAAAACTTAAGTGTAATGTTGATGTCTTGCTCCATAAAAGTAACGGTAAGGAAATGTCCAAAGACAAGCAACTTTAAAGTGGGAAAGAAGAATGGAAACCAGTTTTATGTTGTTAACAAATAAAAGCTTCTATTTATAGTTCAATATTTCAGAAATAGAGCCATGTATTATTTCACTGAAATACATGCATAATTTAACAATGGTGATGATGATACGTCCATCAGGCAATGTACTAGCTGAGAAGAAACACATTACAAATATTTTTAATGCCTTATGGCAATTAAATTGGTTGTGATGCACAAGGGCAAGTGCTGTATGGTTTCACTCATATGTGAACTACAAAAGGTGGCCTTAGGACAGCTGAGAACATAATAATGGCTGCCAGATACTAAAAGAAATGGGGGTCAACTAGGGTTGGAGAAATGCCAAATCAGGGGCTTCCATGTTATCATGAGACACAAGCAAGAAGTTCATCGGTATTACTGTAGGGAGAAGATTGTTATCAACAAGATGCTATACTTTTGAAAACACTAAGGTGGACTTTGAAAGTTTTCACCATATAAAGGTAACAAATGCTTGAGGAGATAAATGTAATTGAGTGAGTGTAAACATTTTTAATGTATACATGAATAAAAACATCACATGGTACATGATGAATACACTCAATTTTATGTGTAAGTAAAAGAGTATTTAAAAATATTTTTAAAAGTAGACAAATTGCACCACATCCATGCTATATTTAGTTCATTTTCTGTTTTTGCATGCTGACAGTTCCTTTCTTGGCTTATTAATCATAATTTCTTAATTACTACTTTCTGTTTGTAGTATTCATCTTTTAAGTTCTGTTTCCCTTCAGGTAGTAAGATACCACACCCTGTGTAAGAATTTGTAATCTTATACTTGTACTTATTTCTTCTCAGCTCCTCTACCGTGGTCATTATCATTTTACATTTACATGCTATAAATTCTACAATGTGATGTTACCTTGTATTGTATGTTCAATGACTTTTTAAATAATGTGAAAATAAGAGAAAAGCATACATAACAATAAACTAGATGTGATTATTTAGGGTTCTTTTTCATACTTTTTTATATTTACTTCTCATGCAATAAGAAGGTAAACTAGAAATAAGTAAAGGTAAAACAAATGAAATCATTCAGTATATGATAAAGATAAACAAAAAATAACCTATACAGCTAATATATCTCCAAATTGGGCCACAAATGGGCCAGAGACACAATAGATTTTTTATATAAAAGAATGAGATACGGTGAAATCCATGCATGACATCATGACAAGAAAGAGAAGCTAGATAAGCAATACATCCACCAGCAACATAACTTTATTATCTCCCATAGGTGTCAGTTTTTCTCTGTTTTTCCTTCTTACTTCCCCACATAGTAAATACATATTGGTTGTGAACACATAGTTTTCTAGCATACACATATATCTTTGTGTAGTACTCGGTACAAGAATATGACTGCTGTTACTGCATTGATATGTAAAAATAAAGCCAAAAGTTAATGGTTTCCTTACTTTGTGTGTCTGCAACAAAGGATTTAAAATCCATAGTGAAAGAAGGCCTCCAGGGGTAAGTCTCTAAAAATCCATCCAGTACGCCCCTAAAAAAAGATAGTTATTTTCAGCAACTCCAGAAAACACTTAGTGAATATAATGACTCATATAAACCTGTCCTATTTTATGAGCAATCATCTGAACTATTATTTTCACTCATAGCTAGGATCTGAGCACATTTCTGTAAATTCCACAAGTCTATACTACACAATATCTTAACCCTGGCCAGGAGGTACAGTAGAAAAAGTCATGGCTTGGGATCTACACACACAGTTTCTTTTCCTGCCACCTACTATCCATAAAAGTGTAGGCTTCTGAGTGTCTCCTCCACAGTTATCTATAATACTCAACACTCATCCACAGTTGTATTATCTATAATACTCATTAAAGAGCTACTTTGTATGATTGCAATTCTACTTACCTATGATTTCTAGTAGTTATTCAAGGGGCTACACAATTATTAAATTAGAATGCTGTTTTACATACCTGTTTCTCCCAGGATCTCTAAATCCTTTGGCAAAAGGATTCCTGTCTATTTTCAGTTTGGTAATCTACGAATTCAAAAGAAAGACATAGAGAAAAGTCCAGTCTATGTTCGCAATAACAATGCTGCCATAATGTGGAAATAAATGCGAGCAGACAGCTAAGTCAAATTTAAGATGATTGTCTCCTTTGCCTACTGGTTCCTTCTGCTATGATCTCCTCTTTAACAAAAGAATCACACAACTTTCTATCATATATCACTTGATAATGACGTAAACCCACGACTTTTCCCCCCTCCACTGTTTAAAACATAAACCATACGATGCTATCCCATATTCTATCCCAGTACACCTCTGGGGCCACTCCCACTTCCCAGATTCTCCACTGCTTTACCTGCTGGTTTTGGTAAGCTGTCACAGTAGTGAATTCAGTTTCTCTAAAGGAGAATGTTTTGACTCTTTCAATAGGAAGGGACTGAATCAAGGACAGGTCAATTCCGCTGTCCTGCTCCATCACGTGCACACGGGGTTTGTACTTATGCATAGACTGCAAAATGATCTAAGAAAGAAATGGTTAGATGCCATCTGAAAGACCCACTTCTCCCCCACATTACCCTCTGTTTATGATAACCCCCAATGAAAACATATCCCCCAAAAAGCCTAGATGACAGTATTCAGGAAGACTCAGATAACCACAAATCAGGACTTTGCTGAAAGTTTTGATCCCTTCCTGGCTGAAGGCTTTCCAGAGGAAGGTACCACAGCAATACTGACACCATGTAGCCAATTTCATAGCCAGATTGTGGCCTTTCCTGCTTCCAAATGCAGATGACCATGTGATTTAGATGTGTCATGAGTACCTGATCATCTGATATAAATTCTCTGGGCAGTAACTGGTGGTCCCAAATGTGGCCAGAAACCTGATATTCCCCACCTCCTAATCCTGGTAGTCTCCTTCTCTCCTTTTGTGACTGGCACAAGACTAGGTTGGCAGGGCCCAGGCAGGAGTGTACCTAGGGAGAAGCCTCAAGATCCAGGAAACCTGAAAATAAGCAGGAACTGACTCCCATGGCAGCAAGTTGTGGACATTTACAGTCTGGATTCTCATTTGCTGCCTTGCATCCTCCCTCCAAACCATATCAAAGACACCCCTGAAACCCATGTGTGAACTCCAGGAAAGGCAAAAGACCACAGTGTTGCTGGGGAAGCCAGGATGCCTGACAGTCCTATGAAGTGTTCCCTCCCACTCTCAACTATAGGACACTCTCTGTAGCTTAAACTGTTCTTTTCTTTGGGGTCTTTGCGCCGAGCTCTCTGCAGTCATTTCCAGAGTCCAGCACTCTTTGGTGGCAGAGCTTCAAGGAGCCCTTTGCGGTCTCTGATTTTTAAATCCAGGAGCTTGGTTCTCAAAACATTCAACACTTACAAAGAAGAATGACCTCTGGAGTACTACCTCTGGCCAGAGCCTTGGCACCTACCTCCTCCAGGAGAAAGATTGTGCTCACTTACATGGCCCTTGTCGTCCGTCTCATTGTTGGTAAGTTTCACTCTATCAAAGGAGATGATTTGACGCATCCAGGTTTCGCCAGAGCAAGGGGAGTCCGGGTGGACGTAGAATCTGGGAGTGATGCCCGAGTGGTCTGTGTTCCCAGCTACCATCCACTGTGAGCTGTGATACACATACCTGAGGGGAAAAAAAACAGCAGGGTGTGGCTTTAGGCTCAGCCAGCACAAAGTCAAGGGATTAGAGGCTTCAGAGTTCCTCACCTAGGAGCCTCACCAAAGATTAAAACGTTTATTCCAAAGACTAGCAATTAAACAGAAGATCCAACTTCATCTTCAAAGGCAACAAATAAACGAACAAACAAACAGTAAACAAGTATATGCCACCAAATGCAGTGAAGTGTCCGGGTGAGTAAAAACAGCATGGGATATCTGAGTCTGGTAGTTCCTCACAGAAACTGCAACCGAAATCAGTTTGATTCATTTTCCTCACTGCCGCGATGCCTAAAAAAAACTCACAAATGACAAACAAGCAAGAGCCACGGGGAACAAAACAGAAGGCTAAGAAGTATGTCCATTTAGCCCGTGTTTAACAGTTTCAGTGAAAGCCCTTTCTTGCTAGGAGCGACTGCACACCAGAAAACTCCAAAGGAACTCCTCCCCGGGCTGCCTCCGGGCTGGTTTTCCGAACTGTTTCCGATTTCAAACCGACGTTTTACTAAGCGATCCCCAAAACAGCCTCAGTGCTACGAGACAAGCAAGCGGCTGCTTCTCTATCTAGGCCGGTTGAAGAGGTTCCAACCACTAGTGAGCTGCACTTTCTTGCCTTGGGAAGCAGTACTTGATCTGTTCTTCCCTAGCGGGCACCATAGACACCTCTGGGTTGCCTGCAGGAGGCTCACTTTGGACTGTTTTCTCAGCACCCTCCCCTTCACTTCCAGAGCTCCCAGTAAAAGCATCAGCAGGGCAGCGCTTCTGGGCTTCTAGCTCAAAAAGTTCTTATCTTTAGAATAATTTGTGCTTGTGCGCCTTTAGCACAGCCTTCTCAAGGTCTTTTGGGGAAAAAAAAAGAATAAAAATATCCCGACACTGGCTATCCTTCTGACCATTCCTTCAGGCATACATCTGAAAAAGGGACACCATATGGGCAAAGCACCATCCCTGACCCTAAGGCCCTGCCACTAGATTTGGGCAAATCATGACATCATTTGTGAACCTGCCCAGATTACAGAATATTCCTGGAAGCTACCTAAAGCCTAAGGCATGTCTCTCTAATTTTTTTTCAAACTTCTTGCCTAAGGATGCCAAACATCCACACATTACTCATCTAAGGCACAAACAGTGGGTAGGCTTAGGGTGCAATAAGGAGTCCTTTGACACCAACTTCCATGAAGAGGGAGTAGGAAAGAACTACTCTTCCTTCACCTGAACTCAGATTCAAATGAGAAAATTCAGGTATCTGAGTCCAAGAATGAGCAACCCTGTCTCCTCACCAGGCACACTTTTGTTCAGTTCCTGCTGTCAGGGGTCAGGCTGCAGCACTGATGCTCTGAATCTGTGTCTTCATCCTGTTTGGACCATATCTACCAAGTTACCTATATCGCTTGGAATCCACTGGTACCACATCCAAAATCACATAGTATTGCTTCGCTGGGTCCATCCCTTTCACCTTGATCCGAACAGAAGGAAACATACGCCTGTGGGGAAAAATATAAGGGTTTCAATGGGAAACAGAACCTGACGTAGGAGATACTAGAGGTACTTTGAAGGAAGATGCTCTTCCCTTTCCATGACATGTTCAGAAAGTAGCATTTGTTGCATAAGAGAAAGATGGTGGATTTAAAAGTCCAAGATTTCCTAGTGGTGCAGACTGTCTTAATGAAAAGCCCTCATCCATGACCTCCCACATGACATTTAAAATCATAAAAAAAAACTTTTAGTAGAAGAAGGAAATGTGAGGTAGATTTGTAAGTGTTGAAATTGGGAAGACTAATTAAGAGGCTGTCCCACACCAGATGGAAAGGACACTTTCCAGTGATCTGAGCCAGGGATGGTGTGCTGGAAGACAGTGGATAGGAAAGTGTCTGCTGCTATTTGCTCAGCTTGAACTGAGCGGCTGGCTACAGAGGTAAGGAGTTGGAGACACACCTGACCCTTGCCTGTCTGTGCAGCTCTAGATTTTTGCATAAAGTGCAAAGGCAGGAGTTGAAAGAGGGAGTCCTTGGAGTAAGGATGTATCAGAAAATATGAATAGAGGATTTAATGAAGCTAGGTACTTTCCAGAGCAACAGACTGAGTAGTCTGTGGCTTTCTAAGATCTGCCAAAGAGTGGGGAGAGGGAGGAGTTTCACGTTACAAAACTGGATTCTCCTCCTGAAGTGCCTACTGTGTGTGATTCGGCGAAATCACTGCCCCAGGCGAACCTGCCGGCCTTGGTAATGATCATCTCAGTCCCGATGTCGTGGAATCTTTTCCATAGATCAGAACCCTGAAGCTCCACTTGGATAATATTTTTTTCTTGCACACTTTCCTGGCCGTTGCCCTCGCCGCCAGAGCAGTCGGATAAAGAAGATTTTGAAGATTCCGCTTTGGGTCGCTTTTCTGCCAGACATGGAGTTTGAGAGTTTGGCAGACTGCACACATCCTTTTGTTAGGAGGCTATCTTTGAACTGATAGACCTCGTCCTCCCCCCCCCCCCGAAACTCCAGAGTCTAATGCATAAGTTCCCCCACAAAACCCTTTGTGGTTTCTGAATAGAGAGAGGGGCCCAATTTGCATTCCACGAAAAGTGGGACCCTTAGAATTCTCTCACCCCTAACCTTCCATGGGCTGAATCCGAAGCTAGATTTTCTTGAGAAGTTGGGGGACACCCTGCTTCCTACTGAGAGGAACAGCCAGATCTGGCTCTTAGGATGTTGTAAGGGGTGTGTGACTCATTCCTCTAAAAGTAAGCGGGAACCCTCCTTTTCATTGCAAACAAACCACGGCATTTCCAGTGCGATTGAGACGCTCTAAAATTTGTACTCAAGTCAGGTGGCTAACGGTGTTCCGCAATCCACAACCTGACCTGCAGGGCTGAGCCAGGACATCCTTGCCACAGCGCAGTGAACCAGGCGAAGAAGATCCGATCCAGCCAGCGCGGGTGAAGCGCTAAGGTGAAGCGCACAGGGTGACCGGGCTGCTTCAGTGTACTCACCCGGCCGCTCACAGTCCCCAGAAGCGGTGCTGGGTACCTCCTCCTCTTTCTGTACGCACTGTTCGTCCCGCAGCTCAGGCTGCATCTCCTCTCTTGAGTCTTGAGATTTTCTTTTGCTGGGTCTCCCCATCAAGGCCTCCACCGAGAAGGCGTGCGCTCGAGAGCTCAGAGCCATCCCTGGAGGGGAAGAAGTGATTGTGCGCTGCAAAGTTTCAACCTGAGCAGGGGAAGGAGGGAGGGGGAGAGGGAGGGCACAGATGAGAGGCAAGGGAGGAAAAGCTCACAGAAAAGAAGTCTTAAATCTGAAAACCAACTTTTGGATCCGCACCATAACAGAAAAAAAAATCCCCCTCTGTTATATATGAATATATTTTTATTTAATTAGACAAAATAAAAGAGAAGGAAGATGAAACGAGTCAAAATCCTACGAGGTGGAGTCTTCCTTCCTTTTTAGTTTTCCTCCCTCTCAGTGGATGTGTGTGTACCATCAGTCCTCAAATCCTTGATTCTGGGACGGGCCAGATCCCAGAATTTGGCAAATGCTGACTCGTTAGGGAACAGACCTGCCACCAATGGCGGCTCACGCCAAAGCGATTGGGAGATACTGTTGCATCCAACTGAGTGAATATCCAGCCGGTCACAACCTCCACTGTTTGTTTTGGAAGCTGTTGAAACGTTAAAAAAAAAAAGCGCTGTGAGTGACACTTTAGAATCTGGTAGGGAGGAGAGACTGGGGGTTGGTCGGAATGGGGCTCCATATAGGCGGGAGGAAAGAACAGAAGGAGACACAAGGTTACTGTTTTACATTAAATTGTAAAACGCTAAGACATGTGAAATAATTGCCCACGAGGGGCCACTTTTCCAAGAAAGAGCAAATATTACTTAACCAGACTCAGATAAATATATCTGGGTTTTTTGTTTTGTTTTTTTTTTTCTGTCCAGTGACACCACTGGAAACACAGAAGAGAGTGCAAGCTTTCTTAGCTATGTAGTTAGAGCCTTCAACTGGCAGTGTAGGTAGATATGCCCCCCAGAACCTCTTTTTATTGGGGGGGAGGGGCTCAAGAGTATCCCAAACACCACAATCAAAGATTAGAGCCAATCTGTGCCTTGTAGTCCTGCCTCTGCAGGACCTACATACCCTCCCCCCATACCCTCTTCAAATTCTCACGAACAATCTGAAAACAGTGTAAGGACTAGAGAGTTACTATCAGCACACGGAGTCTTTGCTCCCAACAATGTGGTGAAAAAATAAAGGGCTGAACTGTGAAGTAATTGATTTTAGTGTCTTCTGAAATATCTTCCTGAGTTGGGTTTTGCTTTTCCTTAAAGTGAATAGCAACACTGTTTGTGTCCAGAAGAGAGAGACTATCATCATCATTTCCAAGGAATACTTTTGTCTACAAATGTGACATGCTTGCTTTTGTGGCTGTCACTTGGTCACTCACTTTTCAACAGAAGTAGGAAATCAGGCACCCTTGGACTCTTGCAAACCAAATTTAAGCTGGTGACATTTGTACATTTTAGGAAATTTTTTTCTGTTCTCCTTTGATATGTTTAGTCAAAAGTCAATTCAAATCTAGTAACAATAGGATGGAATTAGAATTAACTTATAATATCCCAATAACCAGTTTAAGAATGAAAGACCTTCACAGAATTTCAATTTCAACTGTTGAACTGCAACTTTATATTTTTCATGAAATAATTGCTCAAGTATTGGTGGGTTATTCAGTCACGGGGAGGACAGCTTTAGGCAACTGAGTACACGTTAAAGTATTTTTAATGATGTTGGATGTCATGGCAAAGACTTCCTTGTAGTTTGAATGCTGCTGAAGAGTATGATCCAATATAGAGCTTGGAAGATGTTACCTTTATCCTAAGGATGCAGAGTAAAGTTGATAAGGCAAGGAGAATTTCAGTGTACAAAGCACTTAGATCGAAAACATACAGGGCTGGATACAATCTTTGCCACAACTCATGGACATTTCTTTCATGTATCAACATTTAGAGGTAGAATATTTGTTATTTATTCTTCCTCAAATATACTATTGTATGTTCTTATCTAAAGACACAGTTCAGAAACAGAAAAGTCAAGAGTTTATTGATTTATTGGTTAATTTAAGTCTGCTAACAACCATATAGCATTTGAATTATAGTCTCCCCTTCTGAGAATTTTCCTGCTTTGGAACCTGACTCATTTTATTCACATTGCCTTGTATAGCAAGGGGAAACTTTGCTTAGTAGAGGTTTTGAAGAGATTTCTATAAAAGTAAGGTAAAGGATGTTTGTTACAATGTCAGCTCTAGTATTTCACACTGTCTACCATGATGTGATTTTCTTTAACCAAGGAAATAGCATATCTTGGCACATAAATTCCTGTATTACAAGAAATGTCTTCCTTAATATTTATTATATGCATGCAATTTAGTCATCCAGAACTTTCTTATTCGTGTAACCTATACCCTTCCTATTCTCATTTTAGTAATTATCTGATGATATTACACTGAGGAAAAAAAATGTAGCTCCCTTCTTGCTCCAGTTTGCTGGGCTAAAGTGCAAGTAATTCTTGTTACCTTGTATTTACAAAGATCAAGCATGTCAGGACCAACTTTGCAATCTGTTCAGTTGCTCACATCAGAGCTGCTGGGTACTGGAGGGCGTGAGGGACAATTCACTATGTATGCCCTACCTATGCCCAGAAGTCTCCTTTCTGTAAACTTGAGGTTTAATTTAGAAACACATGAGGGTTCTGCAGTACTTACTAAAACTTTGATACCAAACTTATATATGGAGATATTTTAACTTCCACTCTTCACTTGGAGATAATTATTTCAAAAATAGGTGCAATGTATATGTATGTCTGTGTATCTTCATACAAATACTATATAATAAAATTAGAACTTGGAGCCTGACTGGATACCTAATGCTACTCATTAGCAGGAGCACAAGCAACTTCATGATGGAGATGGTTTCCTTCAATTCTTTCTCTCCCTCGATTTTCACTCCACAAGATTATGATGTTTTTTATGTAATTAAAGCCTTGCAGAATAAGAATAAGAAACAAGTTCTTCTTCATGATTTTTTTTAGATCCAGAATAAATGCTAATGAAAGAACGGTCAAGAATTGTCAGATATGGGTTGCATCCTCAGATCATTTTAACATTTCTTGAACTTGCTCAGTTACATGAAACAGGAAACCATCCTTGTTTGCTTAAGTGAGTTTTGGAATGAATTTTAATTACTTATAAGCAGAAGAAACCCTGAAGAAAATAAATTCACGTTGATAAGGTTTTTGGAAGATCACCTTGCTACCTGGGTCTTCCCTTCCTCTTTCTTCTTTTACAACAAAAACTGTTTTATGGATAAAGAAATCAGGAACTATTGAATCTCTGGTGCAGTAGGAAGTCTTATAGCCAGTGGTTACCCGCCCACTGGGGCGTGGCCTCTTACACAATATAAGCCCATGTAGAGCATGCATCCGCTCTCTTTCCAGTTGCTGGATTCGATTTCTGTTCTCCTTTCAAGCAGAAGATTCTGAATTGTGAGTTTACCCCTAAATAAATAACCATCTATTTCTCAATTCTGAGCTAGTGTGGGATTTCTTTTAAGCGTCCACCCACATTCTGAAGATTACAAACCTCCAGTACAAACTAGAATCGTAAATGAGTAATCTGAGTTCCTACATGATCTCCCAGAAATATGATAGTGAACAGGTATAGAGCTGAAGCACTAAGAAGACAGACTTTGGGTTCACATTGATTTAATTCAAATTCTGACTCTACTATCTTCTGAATGACTTACAGAAATCTTTTTGTTGGCATTAAACTAATCTTCCCTTATTATTTCTACCTATAATACTGTCATCATAGACCATGATTCTATAAGAGAATAGGTCTATCAAAAGGTCAAGTAAAATAAGTTCTACAAACAACTTAGCACAATGCCTAAATCAGGGTTCACAGCTGTGTTCACAGTTAAAGAGATAAGAAAATTTAGTTTCAAGAACGTGCTAATAGTTCTATCAGTTATACATCTGTAAATTGAGTCCACATCTTAGAAGAGCATTGAGGCCAATGTTAAAACCCTCAACTTTTATTGAAATCTTACATCAGATTCAACAGGTCAAATGTGTTAGGACTTAAATTGTGAACTTTTAAAATAATTAAAATCAATGAAAATATGTCCAGTAGAACACATAATTTGACTTTATTAGCTTTGCTTTTATAATAATAGTTTTGGTATTGTTTTCTCTTTTTTTTGTCTGAATCCAATGCCTTTATTATGATTTGATGATGTACAGACAAGATTAACACACCTAGCAACTCCAGGGACTTTTGCTCACACTACTGAGAAGCAAGACTTGGCCCTTTCTTTGGGGCCTCACCTCAGCACAGTAGTCCTGTTTTTTTAAAGCTACAGGACACCAACACCTGTTAGAATCTTAAGGCTGGGCAGCGGGAAGTCACCCTACACCTCTATCCTAGCCAACCTCAGGACTCCCTATGAGGGGATAGGAAAGAAGGAGGGGAAGCAGCACGCTTTATACAACTTGACAGTACTATGTGGATCCCCAGGACTGCTGGCCTCCACGGCTCCTCTATTTCCCAGAGAACTGCTCAAACAGCTTGGGCACGAAGTCGTCCCACTCAGCCTGGTAACATGTGCCTGCTACTGCAGCTCCCAGGTGATACTTCTTGCGGGAGGCAGCTACCTTGAACTTGCTGCGACGATGATCTCCTGACCTGTTGTTGAGGATGGGTTTGTCACAGTTCAGTGGCTTGTCCTGTTCGTATACCAGCCAGACATAGCGGTGGAGGCCTGTACTACTGGGAGGCCCACAGCCCACATAATCGGAGAGGACCTTGCCGCTGCTGATGTCATTGCCCTTCATATTGACCACCAGAAAATGGTGCCACTCCCTGAATTTGGGATCCTTCCTGCTGGGAGCAACTGGGTCAGTGAGGACCAGGGTGTAGAGTTTCCCTGGGTCAAGGCCATCCCATAAAATGCTGCTGGGACGATTCTGAACCCAGGTGGGCGTCAGCACTTCGCCCAGCTCATCCACCTCCACCCTGGCATAGGCGACCCGCAGCGCTTGCTGGGGATGCTTGTCCACCTCCTGCAGGCTCAGGGGTCCCGGACCAGTGGCTGACATCGGAGGGCATGGCGACAACGAGGGCGAGG